CAGAAACCCGCAAGCGTGTGCTTAAATCCGATTTTTCTTCCTTTCAGGCGAAATGTCCGTAATTTTTAGATTGAAACTTGAAAGATAAATCAAAATGGACCTTAATAGACTAGGTAAAATATACCCCTGCACGTTTATAAAGACATATTCCTATGCTGTGTAGATAATAACGCACGCCGTTCACCATCTGTATCTTTTAGAGCACGGAAAAAAATGTCGCCATTTTGGTCTCATGCTGAAATATTATTAATCTTTGGGCTTTATCTTGTTCCCAGAACCATCCTTGCCTGATGCTGAAACATTGTCATGCATCTCTGAATCTATATAGAGCTCTTCGGCATAAATAGATAAAGCATGCTCCGTCAAAGAAAGGGATTGCAAATATATTTATACCGTGCTGTTTATTGTATATATAGATATGTAACCGTGGAAGGAAAGGTTACGTAGTCTGATATTTTTCATTGAAACCTGATTATTAACCAATACAGACCAACGACTGATTATTATTTTGTAGGCGAAGGAAGCATTTTTGCAACATTGCAAGTCATTGCTCGTTTCGAATGAGCGCCCGTATAAAATTCAAACCGGCCCCCCACCCCTCGGATCAGTTAGGTTAGATACAACAAAAGGTAACGGTACAGTCGGTGATTCGCACTGTGTGGCTCCTTTAGCACCACGAATTACATTTAGGAAAATGTTCAGAGAGAAGGAATTTGGCGTTTCACCCCCCTCCCACTCCGAAGAAAGAAAAATACTGGCGATTTTGCACCCTTCTTTCCAGAAACCGTACTCAACCCCTTCTTCGGAGCCTGTAGGTTGCGAATAAGAATTTGTATTTTTGCATTTAAGATTCGCCCGATTAAAAGATCCCTCTGGAGGCAGAAGTAATTGATTTGCCCAAGAATTTCGCGTCCCTTCTCCGAAGGTTTTGTTCCAGGTGGTTTTTGTATTAGACTGACCACAAGAAACAAATGTGCAGAATAGAGACACCCACACAGGTTTTACTCACAAAGCCTGGTTAAAGTCCAAACCTCTCTCTTTATTATTTGTCATCCTGCTGTTAATCCCAATATTTTCCAGAGGGGGAAAAAAAAAAATTAAAGAAAACGAAAAGCCCGGCCCCAAGGTAGGCACTGAGAAGCAAAATAAAACCGGACTTTTCCCACAAGCAGCCCAGTCCTCTGCCAGCATATTTTAAAAGCAGCTTTTTTCCTTGTTTACTTGCGTTTCTTGCTCTGCCTCTTTTCTCGGCCACATTTGATCTTGGAAAGAGCAAGAAGCCTTAAATGTGTTCTTAAGGGCCAGTAGCTGTCAAACCTTTTGGCGGCCAAGATTGATCGCGCGCAGACACCACCAGAGCTTTGTTTGGACTAAAAGCAAGAAAATTAAACCCCTAGCATTTTCCAACAGCATCGATATTTGTAAGGCATCCCTTTCGAGGGATTAAATGACAAGTCTCGTTCTATATTTTATTTAAACAAGCAACCACCAAAAAGCCCATTTAAAGCCTCCCGGCCCCTCCCCTCCCCCTCTCTCCAATGCCTTCGCAGATATGCTACATCTTGTGGGTGCATTAACTTAAAACCGATTTTTTAAATGCGCTTCGTGCAGTCTGGACGCAGACTGATCCGCTGAGTGCTTGGGGTCTTGTTTTCTCCCCCCCCCCC